TTGTAAATAGCATAAATCTTGTTTATTTAAATTTCCAAGTGTTGAGTTGCTGGCTTAATTAAACTATTTCTAAAACTGTGATGGATCATTTTTTTCAAATACCTTGCATACCTTGTCTTTTAACGCACTCAAAATAATGTTGAGTTATTTAATTTAAATAATTTAATTTATTAAATATTAAATATTGAAATTTAATAACAGTAATATGAATTAGAATAAAATGAATTATGGACAACTCAGACTAAATAATCATAAACACTGTGGGAATTCATTTTTCATATCTTTGTTTAGATACTTGGAGCGCTGTACTTTGAGAACAAAAGGCATGGTTTGTTTTCCACTTTAGGGAATTTCTCTATAACCCCAATCACAAAAGCAAAAAAAGAAAAGAATTGTTTTTGAATGTGGGTTGTGAAAAAGATTGCCAAAGAGACATGTCTTTATTGGCGAAAAGGAAATGAGATGGACAGAAGGATGTTATCAGTCAAAAGACTATACCCAATTATTGTTCTCTTTTACTGATTCACGGCAATTAATGGTATTATTTATGAATTATTCATTAGTGCAATTGATATTAAAAACAAAAGCCCTTTGTATGTTAAGAAGTTACAGTCCTTGGTTCTTGAGTTTTGTCACAAATGAATAAAAGACAACAAGCACCGGACTGGGTGAAGTCTGAAATGATAACATCTTTCTCTCTCATGGTAAATTCCTGTACAAGGCACACTCCATCCCATTCTTCTTTTGCCAATAGGGATACATTTATTTAGCCGGTTTTTTTAAAGACACATATTTAAAACCCTAGTTTAAATTGTAATAGATTACAAATCTGCAGATTGTAATTTGTGGCTAATTTAACGATAGGCTTAAAAGCTCCTTAAATTGAGGTATCAAAAATAATGATGTTGTCCCTAAGCATTTAATTTTGTTCTATTCAGCGATGTATTGAACAGTTATGAACATTTGTACATAGGTGTGAACATGCAGCAATTTAAATGGATTAAAAATGGCATTGTTGTTCTAGCAGGTTTTCTGTAATTTATGTTTCATTATACTGAGGCTTCTTATGGTGTGACAGATCTGGCAGGTAAGAGGGAAATTATCTCTGTGGCCCAGATGAAGTGTCTGCCATGTTATCAAGCAAAATGGTTGGACAGACCACGTTAGTAGAATTATATGAAGGCAACCAGCCATTTTACTCTCTCCTCTGCCAAACTGGTAAATCTAAATGAACCAACTCCCAGCTCTTAGACAGAGCCTTAAGTTCTGGAAGTCTACAGAGAGATATTTGTGGGCCAGATCAGAACGTCAAAATGCAGGTGACTGTGATTTTGAGCTTATGTGTGGAATTAGAAATGACCTACATTTGTACTGTGTCATCTTCTGGCAGTCTATAGTTAGTAATTAATCCAAGTAATGGCACATTAAAGCTGCTGTCTAGTAAGAGAAAACCTAACCAGGATGCCCAGTAAATGCAGAATGTCCTGAATTAAGTATGCTACAATGCTAGTTCAACTAGTAACTTTATTATCTCATTTTATAATACACTGATCTGTATTATATACCCTTAGGGCAGATTCTTCCTGGTTTGGCTGCTCATAATGTGTGTTTGCCGTAATTGTTCTTTAACGACATTGGTTGGCATGAAATGATAGGGTTATTCTGCCAATGCTTCTGTCATAAACAGCTGAAAATTCAAGCTCTTTGAGTTGTCCTGTTTCACTTAGATCAGCATAAAAGTAAGAAAAAGCATTGTCATCAGAGAACTGTGCTGTTCATAAGGATTACTTTTAATGAAAAGCAGGCTGAAAACATTGCATGGATACTAGGAAGGATGCAAAGAATAGGTATATTTTCAGGGACACCTTCTTCTGGCAATTGTGTAATGTGCCTTAAAAAACACACGACAAACAAAGGATACATAGGTACTTGGGAATTAAGAGTTGCTATTGTGTAAAAAAGTATATATGTAGGATGTCGTTTTTTAGAAACACAACAAAAGCGGTAATTGGAAAGTTAATGGAGATAAAGAAAAGTCAAATGTCTGGGTGTTAATATTTCTTTTAAAAAATTATTCTTACAATCTATAGGCTTTGTGAAAAAAATTTGACTGTGTTATACCAAAAAATCGTGAAAGTTTATATTAACTTTAATTAGATTTAGATAGAATTCATTATTTTTAATGGCTTTCCATTAGTGAGGTGAAGTCATTATTTGGAATGTACAATTGCAAGTAGCAAAACAAGCTAATTTTTGGCTTCTATTTAAAGGCAGCTTATATAATAAAGGAGCTATTATTAAAAGTGCAGTTAGAAAGATTTTTTGTTAAAGGAAGGAAAAAACCCTAATGTTTGAATTGTAGGTCTAAATAAGGATTCCCACCTTTTTATATGAAGAAAAGCATTTATTTTCTACCAAGGAGGAGGAGGGGAAAGAAGAAAAATTGGAAAGCTGTACAGTTGCAGTTTGGATGAGGACAACTGTCTTGGTGGTTGTTTTAGTCTCACCTTCTTTCTTCTAGTACTAATGAAGATGATGATATGGTGGTGTGGGGTCTGCTCTGAGCCTATTCATTGTTCCCAACACTGGCCAGCTTGCTACTCCTAGAAAGTGACCTATGAGCAGGTCATTTAGTTCCTCATCTTTTGCTTTTTGGCTCCAGCATGAAGTATTCTGCATTAAGCCATGCATCTCATTTGATGGCTTTGCACCAAATTAAAGAAAGGTTGTTCTTATGCTTGAATAGGACAGGGGTTCTCTTATCAGGTTACAAAGCAAATGTCAAGGTACAGATCTTAAAATCTAATAGAACTACATGGACAAAAAGTGAATTTCAGGAGCTCTAAAATTGCACATATGCAATGGTTCAATAGAACAGAAATGTACCCCTTCTTACTGAACTGGACAAGTTCATTATACATATTTCCACTGCCATCATTACTTTAACAAAAACTCTCACTAGATATTATGAAGAGCAGGAACTATCTATCCATGTAGAAGGGGAAAAGTATGTTAACCTTTCCCTGGTGCACTGCCTTTCACCTGTAGAAAGCAACCCTCGGTGTGGAATTTTTGCCAAAGACAGCAGCACAATGCTGAGGAGAAGAACCATGTTTATTGTAATGATCCTTGGGTGCCTGCCTTCAAGAAAGAGGGAGTCTGAACAATAGAAAGGCAGAGATTCTTATACACTTTGGGGATGAGAGGCAGGAAATCCTTGGGATCTGACTGGTGGGCAAGTTTTGGATAGGTGTTAAACAGGGGACAAGTGTTTTTCTATAGTGAAACAAAAACCATGCTTTCGTAACAAGGCAGCCTGAGTCAAGGAATCCATTGTCAAGGAGAATGGAAGGTTAGGAAAAGCAGGCGCTCGAGCTTAGTAAGAATGGAGTTTCTGCTGTTTCTCACCTGGTCAAAAGGCTTCCTCACTGAGGCTGCCCCCTGGACAAATCCTTATGCAGGACAGGTGATGGCCCTCTCATGGTTTTAGTGGGATAGCATTACATGTGCAAGTGGAGGGGGGAGAAACGGCAGAGGGAAATGGGGGAGTTTGCTGCAGGAGAGGCAAGGGGGGGCAGAAAGAGAGGCAAGGGGAAGGGGTGGAAGTAAAGAATTTGCAGCAGGAGAGGCAAGGGGGAGGAGGGGTAGAGTTTCCAACTTTATTTTATTATTTTTCCATCACACTCGGTAATAGAGATTGTCTTCTACTTGAGAAATTTCTCATGCAGTTACGGATCCTGATTTTCTAAGGCCTCAAAAATACAGAGAACTCTACAGATAGAAAAGGATTTCCACTGCGGATAGTCACCCCCACCTATATAGGGTGATGTAATGGAGCAGGGTTACTGAATACCGCTCCTCCTGAACTCAGGTGGATTGTTCTCCATGTTTCATAAGGTCAGACAAAGGTTCTGTAGATAGTTACCTTCATTTTTCTATTAGGTCTGTATAGGTTTTCCCCCAAGGCTCATGGAGTAGGTTGCTGAATAGGATGATTGTAGTAGGGGAAAAATGAGAATTATTCCTATGGTATTTGTCAACAGTTCTGAGTAGACATAATCTACGTTCCACTTGACTGTGACAGGAGTACTAACAGCAGCTGAAATAAATACAGATATTTTTCTTTGTACAATATTGGGATCCTTCAGTCCCTTACACTTTTTATATTATACTAGTTCTTGAAAAGTAGCAAGTTTTAAAAACATGATTAGAAAAATATAAATAAAATATTGAATATTTCTATTAATTTAAAAAAAAATTGCTCAGCCAGATGCAAGTGAAAAATGACTGGAAATAGAACTCAGGGTATTATATAAAATGTCTGATATGGAAGGATTTTTTTTAAAGTAGAATGGCAATTGAGCTTGGATACAGAGAATGGATAATCAATATCTGCAAGCTAGAAAAAGTGTTCTGTTTCCTCCACTAATGACATAGGATTTTTTTTTCCTTTCTAGGCAAAGGTGTTTGGAGCATGAGACACTTAGAAAAAAGAATTAATTTGAAATCTGTAGTGGAAGATCAGTTTCAATTAAAACTGCATTTGAGCTTTCATGGACAAGGAGGTAGTTAGCTCTAAACGCCATGGTGGTATGCAGTGAATAAAAAGATTCCTTCACAAATTGCTACTTCGTTTACAGATTTCATAGAATATTAAATTATCCTAGCTGATAAATATTTGCTCCTTCACCTATGTGTTAGATATACTTCCCTCATAATTTGAAATTGTAAGCTGATTTTGCTGTTAGTCTTTATCACTTGGAAGATATGGACATTATATTCTGAATATTATGCACAATAGTTGTATATTGTAGAAAGTGGTGGGAGAATTTTACTAGCAGTAAAAAACACAGCCTAAAAGAAGAGTTACATTCTTTATGAATGCTGTGATAAACGATGCCAAGAATGAGATTCAGATCAAAGTGGCCATTTCATAATTCAGGATTGTCTGCTCATTGGTTGAATCATCACTACAAATTATTTTTTCCTCTCTGGAACAGGGGCATGTGGTCCTGAGCATTGGGTTACTTCAAATGCGGATTGTGGGAGAACTCACCAGTCTCCAATCGATATCATAGATCATCAGGCACGTGTTGGAGAAGAATATCAGGAAATACTCCTGGTTGGTTTTGATAATGAATCTTCTAACAAGACTTGGATGAAAAATACCGGGAAAACTGGTAAGGATTGCTTTGTTTAACTCTTCATTTGCTGGGCTTGCTTGCTTTTCTTTCATCATTAATTCTAGCCTTCTTCTGGCAACCACTAACACAAGGAAAAAACTACAGTGGAAGTTTGGAAGGTGGTAGCAGCCCTGGGCACCACCCCACTGCTATCCACTATACTCATGCATTGGATGAAACGTCTGTAGATGGTACTTTCTGTTAATATTCAAATTCCTTCCATAGATGAGTGACAGTAGGGCAACAAGTACAGCCCACTTTCCCTATGTATCAGTTCTTCAGTGAATGCTTGAATGAGCCTTTTGTAGATCATGTTTTAGAACCTTTTTAAAGTCTTCCTACCATCTGCACCAGGAAAGACAGATTCATCATTGAACAGGGAGGTGTGTCTTTTACACCTGTATTTCTTCTACAGACAGTCTCCTACTTATGAACAGGTTACGTTCTAAGAGGCTGTTCGTAAGTCCAACCAAGTACTGTACATTAAGGTGCACTTAATAAAGTGGCTTATCCTTCAACAAACTGGCTGGGTGGTTGCTCTTTATTACCATCTAGGGACTAAAACAAAAACAAAAAACATTTTGCTAGAACAGTTTCTTAAACATTTTGCTCTCAGGACCCCTTTCCACTTTTAAAAATTATGAACGATCCCAAAAGAGCTTTTGTTTGTATGGGTTATATTCATTGATACTTACCATATTAGAAATGAAAATGGACGCAGTCATAGATTATTTATTTATTGAATCATGTAAAAATAAAAATATTAAAACCATTAGAGATTAACATGAATAAAATACTTTTCATGAAAAAAATCTATATATTTTTTAACAAATTAAAATAATTATGAGAAGAGTGACATTGTTTCAAATTTTTGGAAATATTTTCAATGTCTGGCAAATAATTTTGATTTTGCGAATCCCTGAGAGGGTCTTGAGGGACTCCCAAGGGTCCTCGGACCACACTTTAAGAAACACTGTGCTAGCACAATAGGAGAAGGAATCCAAGGAAGAATACCCTCAATTTGCAGTAGAAAAAGGATCTTCATAGTAAGTCCAATATTCTATTCATAGTACAGGTAGTCCTCGCTTAATATCCATTCACTCAGCACTACAATGGTGCTAAACGAAGGGACTTACAACTGGTCCTCAAAGTTCCAGCCATTGCAGGGTCCTCGCAGACAAGTGAACCAAATTCAGGCCCATTTGGGCCCACTCGCATTTATGATAGTCTTTTGGCCACCCAACCACCTGCTAGCTGGACCTGCTGCCCAGTCTTGCCCCCGTGCCTGCTGCACTGTGTGCCACTACTGTACCAGCCAGGGCTTTCTTTTGCACCAGAGCAGCCAGGGCTTCTCTCTTGCCCCACCCAGGGCCTCTGTTTGTGCGCCAGCCAGGGCTTCCGTTCACCTTCTAGCAGGGTCCTTTCACATGCCAGGCTTCTTTCATGAAATAAGGCCCTGGGCAGGGCACAAACTGAGTCCCTGGCTGGCACACGAATTAAGGCCCTAGGTGGGGTGTGACCAGAGGCCCTGGGCAGGTCACAAGAGAAGCCCTGGCTACATCGGCACAAAAGAAGGCAGCATGAAAGAAGGCCCTGGTTGGTATAGTACTGGCATGCGGTGTGGCAGGCAGGGCTGGGTGATGAGGGCAGCTGCTGGCAGCAGGCAGGTGGGTGGCCAAAAGGGCAGAGATGGGGCATAGATAGGTGGGAGAGTTCAAGAGAAGGTAGAGGAGGAACGTTAACAAGTCTTGGGACTGGGAGGGACCAAGGCATGAATGGCTTGAATCGGGGTGGATCCTCACCTAACAACTGGCAGGATTCAGTTAACAACTGCAATGGGGACTGCCAGGATTGCCATTGCATTTTACAACCATATCGCTTAGCGATGGAAAATCCAGTCCCGATTAACTGTTAACCAAGTACTATCTATATAAAGCCCAATCTTTACGTTATTTTATTTGTTATCTATGATTTATGTAGCTGCCCATCTCCCATAAGTGACTGTGTGGCTTACAACAATCAAAATACAAAAAAAAAAAAAAACCCACCATATTGTAATGATGCTTTTATAAGTTTTTTAATATTGGTGTATTATCCTGGGGCAAATTATGGAAATCTATATCCAAATATGTGAGGCAGGAAAAGGATCCAAGTAAGCTAACAAGCTAATGCTATAAAATAAATTATAGTTCATTTATTATCCTGGGCCTGGAATTCTGGAAGGGAGCTGTTTATGAGAAGAATCATTTAAAGATGTGAAAATTCAAGAGGAACATAAGCAACAAAAGAAAGCACTTTTCCTGTTAATAAAATAGCATTGTTACTATTTGTTCATCTTCTTGCTTACAAGAAAATCTTGCTGTAGATTTTGTCCATAACATTTCCGTAAAGACTAGGTTTATGTAGTAACATATTTCTAGATGCTGCTATTAATGACCCATAGACAACATACTTTTTACAGCAAAATATACTTGGCATCACAAAAGTATTGTCTAGAAAAGAGAAATATAAAAATTAGGTAGTCCTCAGTACCAGCTTTGTTTACTTTTAACAAATCTTAAGGCTATCTTTGTAGTGCTGAATCTAAAACAACAATGGAAGATGGACATTTTCATTGATAATACAGAGGCTATACTGGTATCTACCAAAAACTTGTTTGTGGTTTATTGTATGATCCCATAGTTGTTTACTCAGAAGTAAGCTCCATTGAATTTTATGAATTTTAACATTGATTTTAATCAATCAAATAAGTTGAGTTGAAGATAGGTTTCACGGAATTGGGGTGGGGGATTCTTTTGAGGAAGCAGGTTTTTATGATTGCAATACAAACTTTTAGTACTCAAGCACATCTTTCAGAAGTTATATAAGTTGTAAGTCATGGGTTTAAAAGAGAAAGATATGCAGTGTGGGTCATTAACTTTACCTTTTATTTCATTCCACTGCAGTGAGTAGTGCTAAATGCACTAAAGGAGTAAGCTTAAAGGAAGAGATGCGTTGGGAGTTTCTATAAAGGCTAGGAACTCTAGGATTTATATATTCACAACTTTTTTGGAGACTAGATTGGAATATATTGTATTAAAGAAAAAAAATAGCAATTAATGTTATGAGTTCAGATAATGCTTCATGGAAATTGATAGCTTGGATGCTTATCTTTCTAATGCAGGCTTTCCAAATCTTTAGTAATTATTCATGTATATTTTTTCTGTACCTTGCATAAATAAATTTATGACTGAAAGTGACATACCTGTTTTCTCCAAAAAAAAAAAAACCTTGTAGCCATCCAGTAATATACCATGATAGCACCACATATATCTCGATAAATAAATAAATGTCCTTGTGCAAATGACACACGATGTGAATGTTGCATCTGTTGTGTCACAAATTGTATATTTTGCATCATTTCTGCAATGGCATTATGATACATGGGACATCACTTGCTACTTCTTGCCCCCTACATGGGTTCCTGTATTGCAAAGTCATGTGCAAGGGAAATGGAATTGTAAAGATGTTTAATGCCCTCCAGGGGACAATTTTAGTGAGAAATTTCCAAGAAAGAGGAACTGAACGTTAGTGTGATCATCACAAGTTTTATTAAAGGGAAATACTTGCAGGTGTAAACATGCAGTGCTCCCTGTGATGGACAACAGGTATATATGTTGTGTTCTGCCACGGCACATCCATGCCAAGGGGCTGATTTGTAAAGCTTTTATAACCATGTGCAAAACAAGAAGTGTGAGAAACTAGCTTATCAGTGAAATGCCCTTCCTGTGAACTCCTCAGTATCTCGGCACTTGGCATTATCTCAGTGTGCATTCCCAGACACAGTCTGTGCCATGCTGTGCATCTTACTATTTTTTATAGTAAAAATTCATGCCATGGTTAAGCATATTGTTAGCTTGGTCCAGGGTGTACAGAGGGCAAACCTTGTCGCCTATTACATGTTCAGATTAGATATCTATAGAGACTATGCAGCCTATGTGCTGGATTCCCTCTTTCTCTCTCTCTCTTTCTGATCTTGAATCCTGGAAATGAAACTTGTAAATGCTTATGATCCCCTTGTTGTCTGCTTCCCCCATGTGGAATTTAAATTGGCACTGGGGAACTGGAGGAAGGGAAGTTCCTTTGTGCCATCAGAAGACCTTTTGCAAAACTTTGCTTATTTAATGGAACAGATGGGATCCACTTCAAAAGATTGCCGTGTTGAGGTGTCTGGTCTGAGATGCCATCCAGTCATGTCATGCCCTCCGTTTCCCTCCATCTCCCATTTAATACCTTTGTGGCAGTCATGTGTCTTCATTCCATTTAAATCATTTGGCTCATGGAGAGAGCTCCTTTTTTATTTTTACAAAGCCAATCTCCTGATACCTTCCTCCACATAAGCAGTCA